CTGGGAAAGCAGTGCTGGAACGCCACAGCCCATGGCCGGGCCATGGCTCTGGTTGACCGAGAGCAGGTCCTGTGGTATGGCGTTCATGGAGGACCTGCTCTAGTGATGTGCTTGGGGCTTGGTGGTGCCAGGCCTCAGCTCCAGCGGGTCTGAGGGCCAGTGTCGGGATGGAAAGGTGTCCCACTGTGGGGACCACAGCGAGACGGTCCATGTCTTGTGCCTGGATCGGAGCTTACCGCCTCTCTCTGCTCTGGGTCAAGGATGGAGGTCCCTCTACTGCGGCAAAAGCTGCCCCGGCAAAGGGATCCCCCCACCCCTCCCTCGGTGAGAGAGGGCCCAATCCTGCAAAGCGCAGAGTACCTCCGCTCGGCTGAGCAGCCCCGGCTCCCGCTGAGCAGCGACGGTGCTTTGCTGAACTCATTTCAGCCAAGGAAACTCCTTTCCTCTGCAGGCACTTCCCCGGCCAAACCAGCAGCCAGTCGCCGGCGACTCTCCCCCCGGCTGGAGGAGGTTATTTTGGAGTGTCTGTCGCTCCTTTTATTTGCTTTCTGAATTATGCACGGCACCGGTTTGGGATGGAAAGCCTGGCAGCTGCCTGCTGCACGGCTGCCTCGCGTCCCTCCGGGAGGCTGTCGGGGTAAGAGCCCACCGGCCCCACACCGCCGCAGGGACGGGCATCGCGCCGGCGGCTCTGAGCCTCCGCGTGTGGTGCCGGGAGGTGAATGTGCAGCACCGGGAACTCCGGGCTGCTTTGCCGAAGAGTGCAGGATGCAGGGAGCAGGGCTGGCTCAGGGACCCTCGCCCGAATCCTGAATTTCCCTGGGAAAGTCCAATACGAGCCCTCAGCGACCGTCCCTGGGTGGGAAAGCCTCTCGCTGTCCATGCAGGTGCATCTCGTCTCAATTTACTCCAAGCCCAAAAGCAGTAAATAACATCTGCAAATCATTTCTAGCGCTTATGCCAAAAACTGGGAGATAAAAAATGCTGTCGTCTGAGCCCGGCTGTCGGTGATTTAATGCCGTACCTGCCGGCAGCCTCGGCAGCAGCACCCGCGGCCCCAGGATTTTGGGGGCAGCCCTGGCCCCAGGGATTTAGGGGTGATGGGAACTGGGGCCAGTCCAGCCCCATGTCGGAGCCGTGAGGTTTGGCTGACGTGAAGCTGGATGGGGGCTCGTGTTTTGGATCTGCTCTCCGGTGCGTTTTGTTTTTGGGGCTGTTTTTGCTCCCACCGAGGCGATGGCATCGCTCCTGCTGATTTCACGAGGACGGGCCGGGGCTGCGTAAGCCGCGCTGCTGCGGCCAGGGATAACACTGCGTGATTTATGGGAGCAATCAGTTGCCACTAGGAGCTGGTTAGGAATTTTCCGATGAAACGGGGATTGCGTCAGAAACCGCTGAGTCATCTCAACTGTTTCATAAAAAAAAATAAATAAATAAATAAAAAAAATCCTTTGGCTTTGATGAACTTTTGGTGAAGCACAGAGACCGAAAGCGTCTCGCCTGCTGCCGGCTCCCCCAGCGCTTGCCTCGGGGACAGCCTTCCCCCACCCTCAGGCTTTCCTCCACCCTGTTCTCCCCAGTCCCGGGGTATCCCTGCGGCAGGACGGGGTGCGGGGTCACCCGGGGATGGGGTCTCCTGGGGTGCAACCTCCTGCCAAACCCCAGGGCTGGAGGGAGCTGGGGGAGGGGGGGGGAGGAACGACGCACGGGCTCGCACGGACCCAGGCTGCTCTGGCGTTTTCAATGCGAAATATTTTGATGCTTTTAAAACCTCTCGTGTTCAGACTTTTCCCTCCCGGTTGTTCCAAAACGGAAAGGGTTTTCTCCTGTGTGTCTCGGGCTGGGATATTTTGAAATGCAGAAGTTGGGTGAACTCAAGTGCTAAATTTTCCCAGTGTCCTGGTCACAGCCAACCGATGGAAAATTGAAAGTTGCAAATCAACCTAGCTGGGTAAATTAGAACAGGCTGGCAGACGTTTAGCCAAACAGAAAAGGAGACTTCATTTCCCATGTAAATTTTTTGGGACAGATTCTCTGCTCAGCTTCACACAGCCATCCCTGGGAGGACTGCATCCAAATTAACAACACTGTGGACCCACAGTGATTCCCGCAGGGTGCTGGGAGCTGTGCAGGGATCCGTGCCCCGTGACAGAGTGGGAGCACACCCCGAGGCCCTGCAGACGGAAACTCCTGGCCCATGGCAAATGGTGATGGGCCTGAAGGTTGCCACCAAGGGCCAGGAGCAGCCAGTGGTGATAACCACGTTAAACTGCAGTGATCGCCTTGGATGCGGAACCAGTGCCAGTGTGCGGTGCCCCACCGGGAGCACTGGTTTTGCCCTGTGTGGGGCAGGTTTAGAGGGGAGGAAAGGCTCCAGCTGAAGCATCTCTGGTGTGACAAAGGAAATCGTTCAGGTGGCCTTCCCAAAGCTGCTGGGACGTGACCACCGCGTGTGCAGGGGGGATGTGCTAAAGAATGCGTAGGAATGTGTGTGACCACGGAGGTGAGGTGTCCCATCAACCACATTTTCCATGTAAAGACCGCAGAGAACAGACCACATACACTGTATATAGGTTACCTACGCTGTATAACCACATCCTTCTTTATGCCATAGGCTTTTCTCTCGGACACACGCAGATATCAGGTATGATACGTGCACGGCTGTCACTGAGCCAGGGGGACAGTTCTCATCCAAAATGGCTCTTCCCATGCACCAAGCCCATTTTCTGACCACCACCGCTCCCCTGCGTGGCCCAGAACTGCTTCAAGCAGCCTGACGTGAGGCTGAGCCTTGCCGAATGACACCAAAAGCACAGGACCACAGGGATTCGGTTTATGTTGCAGCAGAAAGGGCAATTCAAAACCTGGCGGACCGTAGCCAGCCAGCCCTCCCCGCACTTCCAGAGGCAGGATGCGGCCGCACGGTCCCCGCCGAGGTACCAGGAGGATTTTGGGCCACCTTGCTCCGTGCCGGCGATGCCGGGGAAGGAGGGGGCGGTGGATTTTGGAGGGGTGGGGGCAGCGGGTACCGTCTCCCCCGGCCGGTGGTG